CAGGCCCCAGGGAAGGGGACCCACACACACCCCCACCTGCCATGCTGACCCCAGGGAAGGGGACCTACACACACCCCCATCCGCCATGCTGGCCCCACGCCCCAGGTGGCCTTCGCAGCCCCTGTTCCAGGGCACCTGCCGCTTCCACAGGGCCACCTCCACGGCTGCAGCTGCCCACTTCCATCCCATCATCTTGCTGCCGTTTCTGGTTAAACATGGAGAGTGGGGTCCTGAGCTCTCTGGGGTCTCTGCTCTGGTTGGGCTGGAACAAAGATTTATAAAATCAATGTTGAAAAAGCTTTCTGAGCAAAGACAGAGTAAGATGAAAATGCGGGCTTGTCTCCCCTGAAGAGGAAGGGTGCCGTCTGTCTGCAGCTGTACTCACCCACTGCGTTCTGTGGGCTGGGTGGTGAGGCTGTGAGCGCCCAGTAGCGTGGCACATCATGGGGGTGCTAGGTGGGCGCGGGCCGACGTCTCCCCATCCCCAGGGACGACCACATCGGTGCTCTGCTGGCTGTGCGTGGGGACACCAGCCGCGACATGAAGCAGACCATCATGGAGACCCTGGAGCAGGGCCCAGCACAGGCCAGCCCGAGCTACATGCCCCTCTTCAAGGACATCGTGGTGCCCAGCCTGAATGTGGCCAAGCTGCTCAAGTAGCCTCCACCGGCCTGGCTTGCACCTCCACAGTCCAGGTCCCGCCCTCAGAAACACAGTACAGCCTCACCCTGCACGCCTTCCACAGCCCTGGCCCCGTCCTCAGAAATGCAGCAGCCTCCGCCAGCCTGGCCTTCACGCCTCTGCAACCCTGTCCCTGCCCTCAGAATCGCAGTAAAGCTGATTGCTCTCCTTGGCCACGCATGCTGGTTTCAGCTGCAGGCCTGTCCTTAGGCGCCAGGTGATGCACTGGGTACATGTGGAGGGAGCCGCGTGCAGAGGCCCCTCGTTCTGCTGTAAAAGCCCTGGGTGCACAGCCTGTCTTGGGTGCTTGCTTATTGCCGTTGATGAAGGTGCGGGGGGCACAGGGGACAATGTACCTCCATGCCCTCCCTCCTCCCTGGACCTTCACCGCACCCCACCTGCTGTAAGTACTCGGAACTCTGTCAGCTAATTAAAGTCTCTGCTTCCTCAGAGAAATGAAAACGCCATGCGCTCTCTTTCCAGTTAAGGTTTCCTGACTGCTGATCCAGCATTGCACAGGAACTGTGTCAATTACAGAAGTAAAAGTCTTCCCTCAGCCTCCTTGCCCCCTTCTGACATTCCAGACCCACTCCTTGGGTCCTTTGAGGGATGAGACACTCGCCTGCTGTGCCCAGCAAGCCCTGTCCCCACCCCCAGGTGAGCAGACCCCTGGCACTGGGTGGTGCCGGCTGGGTCAGCCATGCCTGGTAGGTGAGCAATGGCCGGAGTGTAAATTTTGGTAAAAGCAAATATAAAAGTAAATATTTCCTTGGAGTACATTTTCAAGACCTGTGAATCATGCTTTTCCTGATACGGACTCCTTTAAATTCTCTTTTCCAAAATGTATCCATCTCTCTACAGCATCTGCCTTCGATGTAGCATTGTTTTGTACGTTAGTCTTTAATTTCATCCAAAGCTAATTAAGGGAATTACCTCAGAGGCCGGGTGCAGTGGCTCACACCTGTAATCCCAGCAATTTGAGAGGCTGAAGTGGGTGGATCATTTGAGATCAGGAGTTTGAGACCAGCCTGGTCAACATGGTGAAACTGCATCTCTACTAAAAATACAATATTAGCCAGGTGTGGTGGTGCACGCCTGTAATTCCAGCTACCTGGGAGGCTGAGCAAGAGAATTGCTTGAACCCGGGAGGCGGACGTTGCAGTGAGCCAAGATCATACCACTGCACTCCAGCCTGGGCGACGCAGTGAGATTCCGTCTCAATAAAAAGAGGGGAGTTATCCCAGGATGAGCTGTAGGGCTGAGGGCCCCACGGGGTAGTGGGGTGAGCCTTATGCTGTGCTGAGGCGCAGGATCCGAGAAATAAGAGACAGGACACAGAAATACAAAGAAAATGCAGCCGGGGGGGCCACACCACCTATGAGTGGAGTCAGGCGAGGCCCCAAATGTCCAGAAGCATGAGTATTTATTGTGTATAGGTTAGGGGGGCAGGGCAGTGAGTGAAATCATCTTTAAGGATAGTGATAGGGTCGTGAGCAATAAAACAAGGTGTCCACCCCCATTAGGTCATCTAGGCCAGGAGGTGGACAGTGCGCAGCAAGGGGCCCATTCCCACAAAGGCAAGGGCTGTGTGCAGTAAGGGGTCCACCCCCATTAGGTCACCGAGGCTTGAAGGTGGGCCGTGCGCAGTGAAGAGGGTGCAGTGTGCGATACTTCTATCTATGGGCAAACTACTTCTAAGAAGATTTATAGGAGGATGCTTTAAGTCACATAGCGATGACAGAGCTGTCAAGGTTACCGCCACCTCCTGGCAGCTTCCAATGGGTTCTATGGGAAGATGCTTTTCGAGCAGCACAGTAGCAAGAGCTGCTAAAGTTCACAGTCACCAAGGTGGATTGCCGGTCCGAGGGCAGCCTTCCACAAGAACGGGAGCAAGGTCCTACAACTCCTTTATCAGGAGGAGTGGCTCTCGCCCCAAGCCTGCCATACAGCGGGGATCTTTACGTCACTGAACGCTGCCACCTGGGCCGTGGGTTCTTGTCCTGGTATAACTGTTTTCCCTTAAATCATGCTCTGCACTGTGTCTGCTGTAGGCATTCCTCTGATTATGAGCTAAGATATAATTACAGGTATATATGTAGGGAAATATTCTTTAGAAACTCATACTATCAACTATTATTTGATTATATATAGAGGATTATATAAAGGGAGCCTTCAAGCCCTATTTCTATAAACATGATTATGTAAAAGGAAACATCTGAGTAGTAACACTATAAAGTGAGATATTCCTCAAGCCCTAACTGTGCCAGTGTTCTGCTTAGCTCTCATTCCTCGGTGTCTATATGGGGGTTACCCACAATGAGCAGGGAGCCCTTGGTCCTGGTGCTCAGATGGCAGACTCCTGTGCTCTCTCAGTTTACAGAAAAGAATTGTCTCGGTTGAGTGAGGCGTTTTACCTTCATTCATCCGCTCCCCTGTGTACACAGCGCCTCGTTCCCTCCATCTTTGTCTCAGCCCCAGGGACTCACAGCTGGAAGGTGTGGGGGTGTCCGCGGGTCCGTCTGTCCCTGGGGCCCCGTGTGGTGAAGGTGCTCCAGCCTGTGTGAGGATGTGCTTTGTTTGCTCTCAAGACATTTTCGAGATGGCAGAGGTGACATTTTGCTTTTATTTCATCCTTACAAGGTGTGAAAAATTTACAAGTGGGACTTTTTCTTGAAAGAACCAAAGCTTAAAGGGAGTTAAATAACTGAGACATAGAAGCAGGTCTTAGGAGCATCAGGGCTCAGAAGCGGGTGCTCTTCCCAGGCCCTCCAGCGGGCACACCGTCCCCCAGTCCCCTGTGCGCCTCAATCCAGCTCGCAGCTCAGCAGCAGGTCTTGAATATGCCTGGCTTACGGTGAGTGCTCAGTAAGTGCATGTGGATGAATAAAATTCGTGTTCACAGTCATTAAGGATTGCCCCTTATAGAATGAAAATGCCTCTGTTTTCCCACTGAGAGGGAATTCTCGTTGCTCCTGGAATGAGTGCCCAGGGTGAACGGTCATGAGTGTGCAGCCCTCACTGGTGTTTTGCTCTGATTCTGTATGAGGGTCACTGCTGGGCCCCACGGTCACTGGTCACATCCACTTGAGGGGCACCTGCAATGACAGTGGATGAAGCATTTGGCTACTGAGCCTCTGGAGGGCAGACTGAAACCAGACGGGGAGTTCTGGGACCACTGACTGATGAGCATTATTTGGGAGGTAGGACTCTAGCCAGAACGTGCGGGCAGGCTCTGGGGTGGCTCTGGCCGAGGCCATGTTTGGTGCCTGGGCAGTGGGTGTCCATCCTGACACAAGGGGAGGGCTGTCTCCACCCCACACACTGCAGGACGCCTGGGCGAAGGCCTGTAGCCACCTCCTAGCAGGAGGGCAGTGAGTGGCGAAACCAAAGGCTGGTGCTTGCTGCCTGCACGGGAGCGTCTGGCTGCAAAGTGGCCTTGGGGAAGTGGATGCACAGGTAGGGCTAGTGGGCTGCAGCGCATCCTGGGACCCTCACCCCTTCCACCGCACGCGGCCCTGAGCGCATCCACGGGACCCTCGCCCCTTCCACCGCGCGCGGCCCTGAGCGCATCCACGGGACCCTCACCCCTTCCACCGCGCGCGGCCCTCAGCGCATCCACGGGACCCTCGCCCCTTCCACTGCGCGCGGCCCTCAGCGCATCCCCGAGACCCTCGCCCCTTCCACCGCGTGCGGCCTCAGCGCATCCTGGGACCTGCACCCCTTCACCGCACACGACCTCCGGGCCATGTGGCCCCTTGGTTGAAAGGGCGTCTTTCAAGTTAGGGCAGTTCCTTGATCTCCTCTTACTGCTGGTGGTGGGGGGGCACCAGACAGTGAGGGGCTCCCACATCTCTTTAACGATGAGGATCTGCTGCTGTTCACGGACCTGGCCCCTAAAACATGGGGCCCAGGCACATAGGGTTCCTTTTTGTCCAGAGGAAGCTGACAGGCAGCACGCTCCCACTTGAGGGCTGTTGGCTGCCCCCACCCCCAAGAAGGGCCAAGCCATCCAGGCTGTAGACTCTCAGCCCACCTCTCTCCAGCCCCAGGCCCACCTGCTCTAGGCTGCTGTAGTGTCTCAGGCACCTCATTCTGCTCAGGCCTGGGTGAGCACTGTGTCCCAATCCCAGCCTCTGCCTTCGCTGCTCCCTCCCGCCCTCCCCAGGGGGCTCTGACCCCATCAGTCTGCACCGGAGGGGCCGAGCTCAGCTCCAGGAGTCCTCCCACAGCCGCCAGGAAGGGCAGCAACAGCACACACACACACATAGATGCACCCACACACGCCTGTCTCAGTGTTAATTTTTGGCAAAGTGATATCCGCCTACAGGAGACTGCTCCTTATATTCTCCTAGGTAGATGATTTCTCATTTATAAACGAAGTTTGCACCCAAAATGCCTTGAAATGTTTTTAATAGAAGTGGTCTAGCAATGGTTCAGGGTTTGGTGATGGGCCCTCCCTGCCCGGACACTGCCATCCCACAACTGGAGGGCATTTAAGGCACGTCGTTTTGTGATTAGAATTACAAAGTTCGATTAATATTACAATTGCAAAATCATACACAATTTTCACACTTGTAATTTGAAAGGTTTTGATGATTCTTTGCTTTCACAACAGATCAGTAGTACACAGTATATTCAACTCTGTAACAAAATTATTTTTGAGAAAATACAGAAGTGGGAAATAATGATTTCCTAAATTTGTTGACTTTATCACAGAGGAGGCCAAAGTTCAGTATTAAATAAATAGACATCCTTCCTAATAAAAGTTTTTACAACAGTTTTCCTAAGGAAATACATTCATAAGACTGTTTACCTTCTGTTTTACAGTAGTGACAGGAACATGGGGATTCCCACTCATGATGTGTCCCTACCCTCGTTCCTGGCACCCACAGCCCGGGCGCCCACGTTACCTGGTGGGGTGTGGTCTGAGCTTCTGTGAGAGAGGTTTCCTCACCTGGAACTCTGGTTCCACATTTGTGCTTAAGCCTGTGCAGTTCTCATAAACACAGAAAACCTGCCTGCCCACCCCGGTGCTGAAGGCTGACCTCAAGGAGGTGTTGGTAAGTGTTGTGTTCGCCACACGGTAAGATGGCAGTGATTACCGCGTCGTCTTTGCTGACTTTGGTGTCCAGGGAGGAGCGACCAGGAGTGGCCGAGCAGTTAGTTACCTGGACTCCGCTGCTGACTCTGCAGCCGGGAGTCAGATGCAGGCCCAAGCAAGGGTCCAGGGGAGTTGTTCTGTGCCCGGAGTCACCGCATGCTGCGCTGTGGGCCGCACGACGCTCCTGCTCTGTTCTCCCAGGCTAGGATAGGCACTTGGAAGGTAGCTTTGCTCCTCTGGCCACCCAGAGACCTCTCGGTGGTGCAGACGGGACAAACTGGGGGCCTCTCAGAACACCCACTCGTGCCGGGGAGGCCAGGCCCCAGGCTGCTCTGGTGAACATCAAGATGGTAGCTGCCGCCGGACCCAGGCTGGCCCCAGCTCTGTCCCAGCAGGGTCACTGACAGGGCAGGCCTTGCTGCATGGAGAATGGCTGGATTTTGTGCTCAGAGTTGATTGAAACGGCTGCAGAGTGGAGAACGACCACTGAACACCGAAAGTCGCAGCGCTTGATCTGGGTGGCTGAGCCACTGATTGACACAACAGAGTGGCTGCAGTAGATGACAGCGTCTCCGAAGCCGGGGTCACGAGGCTTCTGTGTGGATGGCGCTTCCCTTTTTCACAGCGCACGAAGTTCCCAGTGGGAAATGGTGGAGTCTTCCCACCAGTGTGCCATCGTCAAGCAACGTAAAACTAAGAACGCCTCCTACCTGGTGACTCAACACTTACCATGGGCAGTTTAATTTTCCTGAGCAAGGAGCTGCGAGTCTGCCCTTGGAAAAGCCCCTAGGAACTCCCGCCTCCCCTGCCCTCATCACAGCCAAGTGCAGGCAGGTTGGACCCTGAGGGACTTGCCGCCTGAGGGATGGGCGGACTCGGGGCCCCTCCGGGCTCAGCGCCGCGGCCTCCGCCCGCTCTCTGGACCCCGCCCCCCAGAACTCGGGCTGGGGGACGAGGACTGGCCAGGGACGCCGGAGGGGGTGGGAAAGGTCCAGGACAGGCCCAGGGGTCTCAGCAGGTCTTCTTGGAGGGCCTGAGCCTGCGGGGTGCCCTGGGCACCGCCATTCCCGCTGGGCGCTCCCTGCGGTGCCAAGGGGGCCAGGGCAGCCACTCAAGGACCGGCCACCGCTCACCCAGCCGGGGGCGACATCAGGCCGGAGACCTGGTCTGTGGGGACGGGCGGTGCCCCGGGCCGCCACCCTGAGACCCGGCGCGGGCAGGACGGAGCCCGGGAGGGAAACGGAGCAGGTGCTGGCTCCAGGAGTCTAGACCCCAGGCGCCGGGCAGGCGGAAGACATTCCGCCACGTCCCCCGCAGCTCAGATCCCGGCGAGGGCCGCCCCGGGCCCCGGGTCCCGGCGCGTGGGAGGCCCCGGGTCGGTGGCGGGGAGGGGCCCGGGGCGCCCAGGGCCGGTTTCCCGCCGCAAACCCGCTCCGGGCGCCTGCCCAGGCGCGCGGGCCCCTCCCGCCGGCGGCGTCACAGCGGCGTCTCCTCCTGCTCCAGCGCGTGCGGCGGCGCGTGGCACGAGGGCGGCAGCGAGGCCAGCTTCAGCAGCGCGGGGCGGCGGCGCGCGCGAGGCCGCTGGAACGAGCGCCGGCTGTGCACGCGGCGCGCCGCCGCCGACCGCGCGTGCGCACTCGGCAGCCCCCGGCGCTCCGGCCCCGCCCCGTGCCCCGCCCCCGGCTCGCTCTCGGGCGGCTCTGCGGGCGCGGGCGCGGCGCTCTCGGGGTTCTGCGCAGGCGCGGGCGGGGCGGGGCTCGGGGCGCGCGGTCGCTGCAGCCGCGCGGGGATCGGGGGCTTCTCGGGGGCGGCGGCGGCGGGCGGCCCGTGGCGCGGGGACGAGCGTCCGGTCAGCGGCGTGTCGGAGCCGGTGTCACCTGCGGGAGAGCGGCGCGTGAGCGGCGCGCGGAGCCCGGGGCCGGGGCGGGAGGGGCGGTCCCGGGCTCAGCGCTCCCCGAGCCCGGCGGCTCCCGCTGCCCTCCCACGCGCACCCCAGACTCGGCGCCCGCCGGGGGCTCCTCCCAGGACCCGGGTTCGCGGGGCAGAGGCGGAAGCGGCAGCAGCGAAGCCCCGGCCCGGCCCGGCCCAGTCGCGTCCCGCCGTCGGGGTCCCAGGACCGCGGCCTCCTCGGGGCGGGAGGTCCCGCCCCCGGCCCTGCCCCGCGCGAGGCGACGGTCCCCAGTGGGAAACCTGCTCCCCGCGTCGTAGACAAGGGAGCTCGCAAGGCCGGACCCGCGGCCGCCCCTCCCCGTCCCGGCCGCGAGTGCGGGGTCCGGGCTCCGAGGGGTGCGGCCGGCGGGGCCTGGAGGAGGAAGAGGCGCTGCAGGAGAGAAGCAGGTGCCAGGTCAGGTCCCGGGGGCGGAGGGCGCGCCGCGACCTGCGGAGAGGAGCTGCGGAGAGACGTTAGCGGGCGGCCGGGAGTTACATGTGTGTGGACTCGGGCGCGGCGGGGGGCCGCTCCTCGGGGCCGTCGGCCTGCAGGAAGGAGTCCACCGACTTGCTGCTGAGGCGGAGGGGCGTCAGGCGGCGGAACGCGCCGGGAGAGAGGGGGATCTGCGTGCGGGCCCTCTGCGAGGGCACCACCGTCTCCCCGGGAGACAGCCAGGGCGGCACCCGCGCCAGGAGGCTGCGGTCCAGGGCCTCGTCCGGAGAAAACACTGGGTTGTCAATTCCTAGGGGAGAGAGCAGCGGCCGGTCAGCCCCCCGGAACCCCACAGCGGTGGGGGAGGCCTCACCGGGGCCGTCACCGGCAGGGTGCCCTGGAAGGTCAGGGTCATCCGGAAGGTCAAGGTCAGCGGGAAGGTCAGGGTCAGCAGGGAGATCAGGGTCAGCAGGGAGGTCAGGGTCACCCGGGAGGTCAGGGTCAGCAGGGAGGTCAGGGTCAGCGGGAAGGTCAGGGTCACCCGGGAGGTCAGGGTCACCGGGAAGATCAGGGTCACCCGGGAGGTCAGGGTCAGCAGGGAGGTCAGGGTCAGCAGGAAGGCCAGGGTCACCCGGGAGGTCAGGGTCACCCGGGAGGTCAGGGTCAACAGGAAGGTCAGGGTCATCCGGAAGGTCAGGGTCATCCGGAAGGTTAGGGTCAGCAGGAAGGTTAGGGTCACCCAGGAAATTAGGGTAATTGAGAAGGTTAGGGTCAGTGGAAAGGTTAGGGTCACCTGGGAGGTTAGGATCATCAGGAAAGTCTGGGTCACACAGAAGGCTAGGGTCAGCGGGAAGATTAGGGCCACCCGAAAGGGTAACCTGAAAGTCAGGGTCACCCAGAAGGTCAGGGTCAGTGGGAAGGTCAGGACCATCTGGAAGATTAGGGTCACCTGGAAGGTCAGGGTCAGTGGGAAGGTCAGGACCATCTGGAAGATTAGGGTCACCTGGAAGGTCAGGGTCAGTGGGAAGGTCAGGCACACCCAGAAGGTTAGGGTCACCCAGAAGGTTAGGGTCACCCAGAAGGTTAGGGTCACGGCCTTTCAGGTTGCAGGCCCTTCCCCCACATCCATGACCCCGCACACCACAAGCAGCACGGGTAACACCTCCCTTCCCTCAAGACACACCCAGCCTGCCCCTCACCCAGCCCACTCCAGGGACAGCATTGTTTGAGTTGGTTGAGGGGGCACTCAGTGAGTGCCAGGCAGGGCCCTCAAGAACTCACAGGAGCACCCCCCCCAGGTTACAGTGTCCCTGGCCCAATGACAGAGCTCCCTTCTGGGGCAGCAGGGGCCACCCGTCCCTTGGCCACGACGTCCCCACCCTGTCCCCACCTGCAGGAGAGTCGGATGCTGTGTCCTTGGTGACACCGGCCAGGAACTCGATCCCCCCACTCATCTCATCATAGTTGGGGGGCTCCTCGGTGTCTGAAAGTTCCAAGTCTGGGGGGCATGAGGGAGACAGGCTGGGGTGAGGACTGGGGTCACTGGGGGGCCATCCTCACAGACTGGTCCGCAGTGTCCATCAGCTCTGTGCACTTCGGTGCAGGGGGTTGGGACCCACAGAGAGGAAGGCTGGACCGCAGGGCCGGGGGAGGACCCAGAGAGGAAGGCTGGACCGCAGGGCCAGGGGAGGGTCCAGAGAGGAAGGCTGGACCGCAGGGCCGGGGGAGGGCGAGGAGGGACCCCGCTTGTAGGGCAATGCGGCTGGAGCCCCATCCTGGGTGGGTCTGACTATGCCTCCCCTGCCTGTGTGGCTGGAGGGGCAGCAGCTGGGAGGGTCCCGAGGGGAGGGCGGGGCCTCGGAGGTGGCCCTTAGCCGTTAGCACACCTTTCTCCTTGATGGCGAAGTTCTGCACGGGGATCTCTGTGGGCAGCTTCCCGTTAGGGATGCTGCTGTTTCTCTGCAGAGTGAATGTGAAGCTGTTAATGGACCCCAACACGGCCGCACTGGCCCTGACCCCGTTCCCGCTCAGGCCCCGGCCCCCCACGTCTCCTGGTGGCCCACCCTCACCCGCTTCTGGGCACGCTCCCGCTTGTACATCTTGGCTGCCTTCTTGTTCTGGTTGAGCCCCAGCTTGGCCGACTTGAAGGACTCCAGGCGCTTCCGCATGGTCCTGTGGAAGATTTCCCGGTCCTGCTTCTCGTCCTCAGTGGGCGTGAGCTCGTGCCGGCTGTACAGATGCTTGTACTGCAAGGTCGGGCACGGAGGTCACAGCTGTGCTGGGCGTGTGCTGGGCACTCCTGCCCTCTTGCTGCAGGGGCTGAGCACGGATCCCCATGGTCCTGGGAGAGGACCAGGAGGCCGCCCCACAGGCGTCCCTGTAGGCTCCCCCGGCCCCAGCCTGCAGCACCCACCTCCTGCCGCGGCTTGTACAGGTACTGCTGCAGCGTGTGGTGCGTGACCATGTCCTCCGCGTCCCGGATGCTCCGTCGCCGCTGTTCCAGAGACTGCATGTCCAGGCAGACGGCACTGACGTTCTCCCTCCTGTGCAGGGACAGCGCTGAGCCGCACGGCTGCCTCGGGGTGGGGTTTCGTGCGTGCCCCTCGCCTTATGGAAGCCACCTGGCCAGCCCCTTCTCTCCTCAGGGCTCAGGCCGAGTCCCCACGAGGCCTTCCCGGAGTCCCATCTGAAGTGGAGCCCCCACTCCGAAGCCATGGGTATGAGACCCGGGGACCCGTGTCTGCACACCTGGCAGAGGGGACCTCCCGTGACAACTGGCCATGAGCTGTGGAGCCCAGGGCAAGAGGGGCAGTACAGGTGGCACAGGGAACAGGACAGCCTGCTCCTGACTGGGGGCAAACACGTCAGGCTCGGCCCCCAATCCTCTGTGCCCCCACCCTTTCATCTTGCATCCTGCACTGAGGGAGTCTGGCCAACACCTAACACAGGGGAGGGGAGTGCCTGCCAGAGAGGACCCTGGGCCCCACCTTCTGCACCCCTCCTCCCACCCCCCCACCATCCCCAGGCCAGGAGCTGTCTCAGACCCTCTGTGACTCAGCCCCAGGCTTGGTTCTTCCCCGGGGAAGCTATGTGAACCTGTCCACGTACAGGAGGTAGGAGACAGAGGCCTCCACGGTGGATGATCGCGGTGTGAAGTCCACGTTGACCATGTTGTCGGTGCTGGGGGAGCGGATGAAGGCCAGGGACCCCCGGCGCTCTCCCTGTGGTCAGGAGGCAGCCCCGTCAGTGGCTTGAGCAGCCCTGTGCCCCGTACCTGGGCAGCTGCCGCTGATATGTGCCCTGGTGGGAAGCGCTGGGAGCTCGGGGCCCAGGGAAGACCTTGAGACGGAGCCTGGGTTCACCCCTCACAGCTGCGGCGGGTGGAGACCCCGAGACCAGGAGCTCAGATTTTGAGCCCCCGTCCATGTCCATGTGAGGCATAGCCAGGCTTCTGCCTGAGCTGGGCAGAGGTAACAGTTGAGGGAGGACACGGCGGTCTGTGTGTGAAGCGGTGAAGCTGTCTGGGACCTGGGGTGCATCTGGGGACACTGTCTATATTGCTGAGTTACAGAGGAGTCCCTGTCCCTGCCGGAGGCCCTGAAACACCTGCCCCCATTTCCCCCAGAAAGGGACCCCATCGGCGCCATGTCCAGAACTGAATCAGATCAAGGGAATGGAGCAGAGCCCAATGGGGTACAGAAGCTGCACAGCTGAGCGTCCTCAGACCCCGCCCGCCTGCCCTATGGCAGGGCTTGCAGAGTGTGAGGCTGTGGGAGAGCACAGGGCAGGGTGGGTTTATGGCTGGAATCGGTCCCCAGGGCCAGCAGAGGCGCGGGCATGGGGAGTGTCAGCTTGCTGTGCTCCCTCCTCGCCAGGTGGGCACCTGTGCCGCCTTGCAGTGGCAGAACCCTCCCAGAAAAGCCTCCAGGGGCAGGAGGTGCCTCTACTCCCACTGCGGACATGGCCCCCACTGCACTGCCCACCCTGGGGCCTGCGAGGGGCGTTGGTTCTGAGGATCCTCTGTCGGCTTTTGCTTCTAAATCCAGCATCTTCTGTACCTCTGTTCCTCTCCCACCGACTCCGTGAAAACAAACATGAGTGGAGGGGCCACGGTCTAACTGCAGCTCTGGGCAGACACAGGGGAGGGCTGCAGGGTGCAGGGTGGCGGGCGCTGGGAGAGAAAGCGGCTGCCCTGTGTGGGAGCCAGGAGGGACCCTGGGCAGGTGGTGCTCTGGCCACGCCACCCCAGGTGGGGAGACTCTGGCCACTGAGTGACCAGGAGGGGCCCACAGGCCCCCCACGCAGCGGAGCCCAGGGTCAAGGACGGTGGCTGGTGGGGTTGGGGAAGAGGCTTAAGGCCCCGCCTGCTGACCTTGTCACCCATGTGGGGGTGAGGGGAGCCCGCTGCCCCTTCCCACCTTCCAGCCAGGCTCCAGGCCTCCTAGGCCAGGGTATCTCAACTTGCTCTTGCTTGCTGGGCCTGTAGTTTGGGGTGTTGTATGGAGCCTGGCCCAGGGGCCCTCCTTCCTGATCTGCACTGGCCCAGGCCCCCGTGCCCCTGCCAGGAGCCGCCCTGCCACTCGGCGTGGCCCTGGCCATGGGTGGTATGTCTGGGGTGAATGTGCCCCAGTGGAGGCAGAGCCATTCTGTCTGAATGAATGGTATTTCCAGGCCCCCGCTGGCCCTCTGTGTGAGGTTTTGGCAAGACAGCCCGTTCCCTCTGGCGTGAGCACCAGCCCCAGCTGGCTGCTGGATAAGGGCACCAAAGCTTCATAGGGAGGGCTCTGTCCCTCAGGAGGAGCGGGACCTAAAGGGAGCAGAGTCCCTGCAGCTGTGCCCTCAGGCCCTGCTCTGCACAGTTCCTGCAGCCAGAGCCCCTCTGGGGAGGTCAGGGCAGGCCCAGGAGGCTGAGGCCATTCTGGGCAGGAGCAGGAGCCAGTGACCAGTGGTCGTGGGGCTGGGTGGGGCGCCTGGGGCCCTGTCTCCTGGAGCAGGCAGGGGCGCTGCAGACGCCAAGAGGCCTGCGCCCCGTGGACCAGGAGCTGCTGGGGCAGCCTCAGAGCCACAGCCTGCCCATGGCGGGAGACAACCCTGCTGCTGCCCCTCCATGTGCCTGCATGTGGGCCTGTGGGTGTGCGTGTACATGTGGGCCCGTATGTGCATTTGGGCATGTGTGTGTGGGCATGTGAGCATGTGTGTGGGTGGGCACGTGTGTGTGTGGGTATGTGTGTGTGTGGGCATGTGTGTGGGGAGCCCTATGTGTGCATGTGGGCCTATGGGTGTGTATGTTCCTGTGCACGTGTGTGGGCCTGTGGGTGCGTGTGTGCCTGTGGGCGCACGTGTGTGCGGGGTTATGTGAGTGTGGGGCACATGTATGTGGGCCTGTGGGCACATGCATGCTGTGGGCATGTGTGTGGGGGGGGGCCAGTGGGTGCATGTGGGCACGGGCGTGTGTGGGCCTTTGTGCATGTATGTGGCATGTGTGTGCATGAGGGTGCATTCGTGAGTGTGGGTGTGTGTGCATGTGGGTCTGTGGGCGTGTGTGTGGGCATGTGTGCACGTGGGCATACAGGCGTGTGTGTGTGGACCTATGGGTGTGTGCCTGGGTGTGGGCATGTGTGTGCATGAGGGCATGTGTGTGGGGCCTTTGGGCATGTATGTGCATGTGCCTGTGAGCACTTGTATGAGTGTGGGCCTGTGGGCACGTGTATGGGTGTGGATGTTTGTGTGTGGGCATGTGTTTGTGTGTGTGGGCATGTGTGTGCATGTTTGGCCTGTGGACATGTGCATACATGTGGGCCTGTGGGCGCGTGCATGTGCACATGCGGATATTTGGGTGTGGGCATGTTTGTGTGTGTGTGCGTGCATGTGAGCATCTGTGTGTGGACACGTGTGTGCATGTGGGCCTGCAGGTGTGTGCATGTGTGTTGGTGCTTGGACATGTGTCTGCATGTGGGCCTGTGGGCGCGCGTGTATGTGCGTGTTGGTGTGTGCTTTTGGGCATGTGTTTGCATGTGGGCGTGTGTGTGTGTGTGTGTGTGCGCGCGCTTGGGTGTGCCCGGATCTGTTGGAGCCAGGTCCTATAACAGCCTGCCTGCTTCCTGTCTGCCTCCATCTCCGGGGAAAGTGCAAAAGCTCAGGGTTGGAGGACCTGGCCTCAGCCCTCAGCCCACCAGCACCACCGTCAACAGGCCTCTGTCCCTCTGTGACATGGTTTACCCCTTGTGAGAGCCAGCTGGGATTTCCAGGGCATCAGAGGGCCCAGGATCCTCCTGTGAACTTTTGGGGTGGGCCTGGCCTTGGGATCAGGTGCAGGGGCCTCTCCTCACTGCCCCGTGGTGCCCACAGCCAGTGTCTGAGCCTGCTTCAGCCCCCACCCGACAGAGGGAGTGGTGGCTCCAGGACCTCGGCCACGTAGCTGATGGCGTCCTTCAGGTTCAGCTCGTGGAAGACATTCAGGATCCGGTCTCGAGACTTCTGGGCCGACCGTCTCATGAGGACCCGGCTGAGGAACTTCCTGTCGAAGTGGGACCACCTGCAGGGACAGACCCCACAGCGTGAGCCCCAGGCCGCAGGCGTCCTGGAGCTTGCCAGATGGCCCTTCTCTTCTCTGAATTTTATTTGGTGTAAGGACCCTGAGGCGCATTTAAAAGGAGAGCAGCCCGCCAGGCACCCAGGCTGTTCCGCTGCCCTCCCGCCTGTCCTGTTTGATGGAGGCCATCAGAATGAAACGGTGCGTTCCACTTTCCAGCAGCCACCACCTCCAGAGGGGGGCTCAGGACAGGGTGGGCATCAGGCCTGGTTGGGCAAGGGGGCTCCGGCCACATGGGGGAACATTTCAGTTGGATAGGAGGAAAGGCAGGGGTGGGCAGACGCCCTGAGCTTTTCAGCTTGCCAGAGCCAAGCGGATCAGAGTGAGGTTCTCTAGCCTAACAGTATTCACTGGTTATCCGAGGCAGAAGGGACAGTGGCCCGGCCGGACTTAGAGGAAACTGGGGCACAAAGAGGTGAAGCCTGTCACTCCTAGACATGGGCGCAGCTGCCAGACCTGGCCCCCGGGGCAGAGGTGGGCCCTGGCGAGCTTCCGTGCTCACACCTGGGCAGGCCCCGCGGCAGCCATGGTGGCTGCTCAGTGCAGGTCGAGTCTCACCCATCAAGAAGTCAAAGCTTACGGAGGCCGTGCCTTCCGAGACCCCCGGACAGCCCCTGGGAGGCCAGGGAGTGGGGGACTGGGTACCTGGGGCAGAATCGCTGTGGCCATGGAGAACCACAGCTGCACTTTATGAAGCCACGTGGCCACACTGTCTGGATGCTTCCACCCCCACCGAACACAGATCGTTTGGAAAACAGGAACCAAGGGCAAATTGTGCTGTGTTCTGGGTTTATTATGATTTTAAATGTCAAATGTATTTTATAATAAAACAGGTGATTTCAGCTTAATGGACAAAATCTTTTTTTATTTTGAGACAGAGTCTCTCTCTGTCGCCCAGGCTGGAGTGCAAAGGCATGATCTCGGCCCAATACAGCCTCCACCTCCTGGGTTCAAGCGACTCTCATGCCTCAGCCTCCTGAGTAGCTGGGATTACTGGCACCTACCACCACCCCTGGCTAATTTTTGTAATTTTAGTAGAGACAGGTTTCACTATGCTGGGCAGGCTGGTCTCAAACTCTTGACCTGAAGTGATCTGTCTGCCTGGGCCTCCCAAAGTACTGGGACTACAGGTGTGAGCCCCACTAGACAAAATCATTTTAAATGTTGACCGATATGAACACACCCTGTTTATGACATGGAGGAAATAATCTATTTTCCCTGTTTTCAATTCCTACATAACAATTTGGAATTAGCTGGCACACATGCAAGGGTGTCTCTATTCCCAGGAGCAAAGGGCATGTGGCTCCCTTTTCGGCAGCACCTGCGTGTCTGGGGGCACACATGGCACCTGGCCTCATGGGGCACCGGAGCCAGCCTGGATGCAGACAGTTATGCACGTGGCTTCCGGCTCTTTCGAGCAGGTTGTTTCTGGAAGCCGGGCTGTGCGGTGCGGCACAGCTGGGGCAGCCCCGGCCACTTACTTGTCTCTGAGATAATTGTGCCCGATCTGTCCAGATATGTCCTCGATGGCTGAGAGGATGTGGTCGAAAGCCTTCCAAGGGAAGAGAGACGTGAACGTCTCGGGGCAGCCGACGGGGGAACATGTGACATTCCTCTCCCCTCCCAGGCCCAGACGAAGCCTCCCCTCCCCTCCCAGCCCAGCCTCACGGAACACGTGGTGCCCCCTCACCGCCCCCCCAGCCCCGCGGAACACCTGGGGCCCCCTCCCCCCCCCCCCCAGCCTCGCGGAACACGTGGTGCCCCCTCCCCGCCCCCCCCAGCCCCGAGGAGCACTCAGCGCCCTCCCCCCAGCCCTAGACGTACGCGGCCGTGCAGCTTCTCATTGAGTCGGGGTTCACGGTGCTCACTCCTCTTCACCTTCAGCCACTGCACCAGGGGCTTGATGGTCAGGCCCTGGAGGACCGTGTCTCGTGACCCTGGTGCCAGGCAGCCCCCCACTTCCTGCTGGCCCCGCCATGTGCACTGCACAGAGCTGCTTGCCCCGGGGCCTGTGGATGCCCTCCCTGCTCTCCTGGCACCTGGCCACCTGCAGCCCTGCTCTGCGGAGGAGGAAGCCAGCCTCATCCACCAGCGAAGGCTCAGGAAGAACATTTTTAGGCCAATTATGCTTCCTCCCCAGTGGGGCCACATGAAAACCTCCAAAACAGCTCCTAGTTACTAAAATTATAAAACCCAATTAGGATCTGGAGCCTGGAAACACTCATCTGCCTCTCGAGGGTGGGGCAGAGACCCCAGGGCGGGCAGGGCTGGGCCTCACCTGGAAGATGACGGTGAAGAAGACCACAATGATGGTGGTGCTGACGAACAGGTTCTTCTCCTTGACCTTCTCTCCGTCCAGAAGCACCACTAGGGCAAAGGCCACGGCCCCACGCAGGCCCCCGTAGGACAGGACCACCTGGTCGATGGGCTCCAGCTGCACCATGCGGTAGCGGTTCAGGAGCCACGTCTGCAGGACCACACCTGTGGACGGGGTGGGCACTCAGCTCCCCAGCCGCCCGCCTGCCCTGCGGGGCCTTTGTAGGCAAGCACGTGCTGACAGAGAACAGCGACACCTGGATACGGCGTCCCCATGCCACGACCCACATCACCATCCACGGAGCCACATGTGGCCAGGCGTCTCCCCACATGCTCTGTGCATCACACACGCAGGTGCCGGGCTACGGGGCTGGGTGGGGGCGGGGTCTTCTTGTCTCCCGGTCCATCTCCCATCCCACTGACCCTGTCCTAGGCATGTCCTGGGTGAGTCAGCGGGAACCGAGTAAGCTCCCTTGGGGTTCCAGAGCCTTCCACCCCCGCCCCAAGGCTGCCACCAGGTGCCCTGCCTCGGGTCCCCTCCTCTGCCTCGCACGGGGCTGCGCCTCCATCTCCATGGGCCCAGTAGAAAGCCTTCGCCTTCCCAGGGTGGGGCCGGCCCATCGCAGCCTCACATCCACAGCCCGGCCCCGCCTCACCGATGGCCCGGTACACGGAGATGAAGACCAGTGTCAGGAGCACAAAGGCCGTGTTCCAGGTCCAGATGAACGGGTTCACGGCCGAGATGCCCAGGAACATGAAGATGATGGTCTCGGCGCCGCTGGCCAGCATCTTCATGGTGTAGCGCACGGTCGTGGCCGACTGCTCCGAGATGTTGGCCTTCACGTACTTCTGACAGCAGATGCCACAGAAGGTGATCCTACAGACAGACGCGCCTCAGGGCACGGACACGTGGCCCAGTGCCCAAGGCCCCCATGTCGCCCACCCCCCACGGCCTGGCACCTGCAGGCACAGAGTCACGGTCATGTGGTTATGGGGCCTTTCCCTCCCGAGCCAGGCTGGGCTGCCAGGGTTCCTGCCCACGGCCCTGCAGGGTCACAGGCGGCCGTCACCTTCGGGTGAGTACGGGGCACCAGGCCTGCCACCAGCAGGGATGGCAACAAAGGGTTCCGGAGCCCCTTGCCCCTCAGCCGTCTCACAGACGCTGCTCCCAGCTCACAGACAATTCAGTGAAAACACAAACTCCTTATGATAAAATGTGAATAAATTCTTAGCCCCACACTGAATTCCCACCAGCCTGGGACCACCAGCAGAGCGAAGACGGCGACGGGGCAGCGGGCAGGGCAGGCCCTCCATGTCCCCTTGCGGGGCTCACGGGGAACTTGTGGGCGACGCAGAGCCCAGGGGTCCTGCCACACGCAGCCGGGTGGCCCCCAGCTAGCACCGTCCTTGTGAGTTGGGGTCCAGGAGGGTGTGGGGCCCGGGAGGGCGGAGGGACTCACGCCAGGATGGCCGACAGCGACAGCATCTCGGACGTCAGGTAGGACAGGTAGGAGATGACGAACACGAAGCCGGGCTCGATGATGCGCACGTGCTTGGTGAAGCGCGTCACCAGTGACAGCAGGAAGGCGAAGATCACCCCCACCAGCGTGCCCCCCAGGCTCACCACGAAGAAGGACACTGGGGAGAGGACACCCTTTGTGTCTGTGCTGCCTTCCGGGCCCTTCCTCGCCAGCGGCCACCCATGACCCCCGAGGGGGTGCCGGGAACCCCAGAAACAAGGGGTGGATTCCTCACTCTCTTGGCAGGGAGTGGGGCTGGTCTCAGCACCAGCCTTGGTCCAGCAAGGGGAGAGGACCTTCCCGAGTCCCCAGGAGCCTGGCCCAGGCCCTGTCCGGCCGTCTCTCATGTGGAGACCTGGCTGCCCTCATCCCTGCTCTGGGAAATGCCCAGGAGCCCCAGGCCCCTGTCAACTCGTGTGTGAATCGCTCTGGAAGGGGACGTGGACAGAAGGACTCAGTGCAGCCGCTTTGAGTGAAAAGTGTTTTCCTGCAGGGGCTGCCGGCCAGGCGTGGAGAGGAGACGCGGCCGCCCACCCGCCTTGACCCACAGCTACGAACCTATGCCTTTCACACAGTCCACACCGGTCACGTTGTCACCCCCCAGCGACACAAAAGATTCAAACACATTGTACAGGACCTGCGGGACAGAGACGAGAAGGGCATTCAGGCCCCTGGTCAGCGCCGCCCCTCCCCAGGGCCCAGGCCTCGCCCGAGTTGGCCCGAGTGTGGAGCCCACGGGAACCGAGGCCACCAGGAGGAAAATAATCACTGAGCGATGGCAGTCGAAGGGGCGAGGCCAGAGCCCAGCGGTCCGGGGACACCGGGGCAAAGAAGGTTCTGGAGGGAACTAGAAGCTTTGGGAGCAAAGCTGGCCTCTTCCCACCCTTGGCAGAACAGGGGCAGCGGCAGAGCTCTCCCCCTGGAATTCAGACACCACAGTCAGTCTCATGTACACAGACAAGCCCAGGGTTTTAGCGACGTCCCTGCTGCGCTGGCTCCAGGTTGTGAGGCTGAGCCCCTGCGGTCTTTGCTAACCTTTGTGGTTTTTAAACCTTAGCCCACAGGACCCTGAGATAAAATGCAGGGAAACCTTGTCCATACTCTGGGCTCCACGCCGAGCGAAGCTGCAATGCAGTGGGACCTGCTGAGGGCTGTCCCGGGTGGGCCGAAGTCCCTGGGGAGACCCTGGCTCTGGTCAGGTAGGAGAGGACCCCCCGGGGCAGGCGTGTGAATTGTGTTTGTGAATGTAGGCTGGGCTAGGGGACCCGAGAAGGTCCTGGGGTCTCTCGGGGCCTTCTTGGAGCTGGGTTTTTTAATGAAAATCTAGCTGGGAGGGAAAACAACCTCTTGGGGGGCTCTGGCTTCTATGGGGACGTGGGAGCTGCAGGGATGTCGCTGTATTTCTGATTAAGTCTCACTTCTCAGATTCCCTGAGAATACCTCATTTGCTAAAGAGAAGAAATCTGGTGTGCTACCCTCATAGGACTTTCCTGAACCCTAAGGAAACATGAGAAGCAGATGGGGTCTTTTGAGAAGCCACAGACACTGTTAGAGGGGACAGGAAACGGACCCCACCATTCTGGCTGCATCTGCAAGGTCCTCAGGGCTGGCGGAGGATGGCCAGGGGCAGCACAGGGACCGGGGCAGCGTCAGGGCAGGGGCGGCCTGGGGACCGGGCCCAGGGTTGGCCTCACTGATGATTCCTGCCCTCCATACAGGCTGGAGTACAATGGCAATCTCCACCCACTGCAGCCGCCACCTCCCAGGTTCAGGCGATTCTCCTGTCTCAGCCTCCCGAGTAGCTGAGATTACAGGTGCATGCCACCACACTCAGCTAGTTTTTGCATTTTTAGTAAAGACAGGGTTTCACCACGTGGGCCAGGCTGGTCTCACACTGCTGACCTCAAGTGATCCACCTGCCTCAGCCTCTCCAAGTGCTAGGATTACAGGTGTGACCCACCGTGCCTGGCCATTCATGTATTTTTTAGGAACTCAGGAATGGGTGGTAGCAACTGTGGGTCTAAAGTCACAGACCCCCTGCTCCAGAGTCTGGGAGGGTAGGGTTTTGACAGTGGCATCCTTAACCCTGAAGGTGTGGATGGGCGGACTGGGCCTCAGAACTGCGAAAGATCCAAAGAAGCCGCGTGAAAGCCGCCCATGGTTCTGAGCTGGGAAGAGGGACGTGGAGGGACGGGACGCCCAGGAGGGGAGTGTGGGGCCAGGGTTTCACGCCCTCCTTTGCCGACGGACTGATGGGGGCGAGACGGGGTCCAGGCCTGCACGGCTGCTGTGGAGCCTCGGTTCTGTGGCTTACCACGGTGACTGCGTCGTTCAGCAGGGACTCCCCAAAGACGATGATGAACAGGACCTCGTTGACATGGACCTCCTCAAACACGGCCAGGACGGCCACCGGGTCCACGGCGGCAATGAGGCTGCCGAACAGGAGGAAGTCCAGCAGCCCGATCTGCAGGTCACCTGGAAAACAAGCAGAGCTGTGGGGTGGGCACAGGCACTGCCACGGAGAGGGAGGCCCTGGGGAGACGCCTGGCTGCAGGTGGGGGGCCCGAGCCTGTCTGGCTGATGCCGGTGGTGAGGGGAGCCAGGCCAGCCACAGGTGCTCCTCCCACAGGCCCCCAGTGCCCTCTGGGGAAGGCTGGTGTCTTCCAAGGGGGCCCATTCCATCTGAGCAAGACAGACAGAACCACCCCGCCCTTCCCTTCATCTTCCGGAGATGGGGGCCCCGGCCTGCACAGTGCAGCCTGGAGAGAATCGAGCCCTCTCACTGCGGTTCCCAGCCCAGCAGTGAAGGTGTCTGAGGCAGGTGGGAGCAGGGGACTGTGTGCTGGGAGGATGGGAGCCCATCACCTGGAGTGACATCCCAGCCAGGGGGGGAGCAAGTAGGGCAGACCCAGGATGGGCTTGGAGCTGGGCACACAGCACCCTGGGGCCACGGCCAGAGAGGGGCAGGCGGGAGGGCCGCTGGGGACATGGGGGCAGATTGTGAGGATGAGCGGGGGGCCTGGAAGGCATGGTTCCAGTGGTCCCCAGCGCCTGGCCAGCTTTCCTCCCCTCCTCGCACCTGCTTGTGGGCTCTGATGTCCCTTGATGGGGAGGTTTTACTGAAATGCAGCCTCATCCTGCACGAGCCTTTGCAATTCAACCCAGGGTCCAGGCCTCGGGCAAGCCATGAGGGAGTGCCAGGCTCCAGGGGGCCCTCCGGGAACCGAGTGTGGTCACTGGGCCCTGAGCACCTGCCCTCGCTCATGGCTATAGGACTCAGAGGACACTGCCTCCCTGCTGCCTTCCTGGCCATGAGAGTCCAGGGACTGGAGAGGCCAGGGCCGTGAGGGGGCGGGAGAGGCCAGGGCCGTGAGGGGGCGGGAGAGGCCAGGGCCGTGAGGGGGCGGGAGAGGCCAGGGCCGTGAGGGGGTGGGAGAGGCCACCCAGGGAGGGGGATGCTCCCGCGACATGTGAGGCCTGCCTGAGTCCCACACACAGCTCCTGCCTCCCTGCTGGGCTGGAACGCAACCCACCACACCCCTGGGCCGAGGCTCGGGCTTCTGGGAGCTTTGTCCCTGGAGCGGGACAGGCCCCAGAAGACAGCGTAGAACAGCCTGACTAGGGGTTTCTGTACTAGTGCCCGGGAGGGGACGGGTCAGGGTCGCCTCCGTGGTGACTAAACCCCAAGTCTGCTGTGAGCGCCTAAGCCCCGGCAGCCTCTTGCCAGCGTCACAACACCCCGAGGAGGTGACAGATGCCAGAAGAACCAGCGTTCAGGGAGGTAAGGTCTCCGCATGGGAATGGGACCCGCACGCCTCTGATGCCCGGAGCTTCCGCGGGCCTCTCCCCACGCTGCCAACCTGGGCCAACCCTGCCACATGGACCCTTTCCCGAAGGGCAGGTCTGGCCTTGAGACACTCCACGGGGCTTGGCCACTGGTCTGCATAAATCAGTCGTGGCCTCCCAGCTCCCTCGGGCTCCCAGGAATGGGATGGACCTGCAGCCGTGGGCATCTATGCTCAGGGACCTCAGGCAGCACCCAGCTTTGACCAGCTGGGCCCAAGGCTGAGCGCAGGCCTCTGGCATCCATATCACCTGGGGAGCGGCCTGCCTCAAGGGGGCACAGCAATGCCTGGGACCCGTGTTTCCCACAGGGAGCACTGTTGGAGGATGGTGGAACCCAATGCGGCTGGCGGGGGCCAAGGACATCCCCACATCGTGAGTCCTCCAGGGCCTGAAGGGGCAGGTGCAGCAGGAGTGTCCCGGGGTCGGGCGTCCTCCAGAGCCTGAAGGGGCAGGTGCAGCAAGAATGTCCCGGGGTCGGGCGTCCTCCAGGGCCTGAAGGTGCAGGTGCAGCAAGAATGTCCCGGGGTCGGGCGTCCTCCAGGGCCTGAAGGGGCAGGTGCAGCAGGAATGTCCCGGGGTCGGGCGCCCTCCAGGGCCTGAAGGAGCAGGTGCAGCAGGAACGTCCCGCGTCGGGTGTCCTCTAGGGCCTGAAGGCGCATTTGCAGTGTGAACATCCTACTCCAGGCCAGCCAGTTGCACTGAGGACATTCTGCTTCCTAAAAGGGAAATCTGGCACTGTCTCTGGCCGATGCTAGGTGGGGACCATCGTGGCCACGGCCTCAGAGCCACGGAATGTGCCGGGCTCTCAAAGGAGCCACCCTGATGGCCAGACTGGCCCAAGGCTACTCCACCCACACTCGACACGGCTTGGAGGAAGCGCTCGGCTGGGATCTCATGGGCGAGGGACCCTCTGGCAAGGTGGCCATGATGCTCGAGGAGCCATGGGTCCATGAGTCCCTGCTCTGACTCCCAAGGCTGTCCCTTGGGCCCGGGGGCTAGGGCGGCTGCCCCATCCGAGGTGCATCCTGACCACCTACAGCACTGTCCATGTGATGCGTGGCCACCCACAGCGCTGGCCTGAGCCTGCCGTCCATGAGTCTGTGAGGCCTGCACCCTCGGTGGCTTTCTCTGGGCTGGGCCTGGCGGGTGGTGCCAGACAGCAAGGGGTGAGCACGAGGCCCCAAGGGACCATGTGCCAGGTGGGGGCGGCTCCAACCTGGGAGCTCCTCTTTCTCATGAGTCTTCCTGGTCTCAGGTCTCAGCCCCTGGACTCCCATGGAGAGGCCGGGCCATGCTCTCCCTTGACGCAGACAGAAAATCACCAATTCTTGCAAGTCTGGTTCAGCTGGTGAACGTGTTTGAGGCTGATACTGAGTTCTCAGACAGGTGGGGAGGCCAGGTGAGGACATCAGGTGCGACACCTGCCCCCTCCTTCCTGGCCACCCCCGGCGCTGGAGCTGATCCTGCGGGCCCCAGGCACGAAGGCATTTGAGGCCTTGCTCCACCTTGGGACCCCGCTGCTCCAAGCCGTAGCAGGCCCGGCAGCAGCAGCTGGCGGCAGGGCTGCATGACACCTGGTATATCTGTGCGAGGCGTCAGGAGGCACCATCTAGGCAGGATCGGGCTCCAGGCAGGAGGCGGTGCCCAAGAGACAAAGCAGCCAAGGGTCAAGAAGACAAAACAAGGCAGGCTGCACTGGCTCCGGACGTGGCTCAGCCACACGGGTGTGGAAGTGGCCGAGTGGCTCTAGCACATGGGAGAGGAGGAACAGCGCCAGGTGCAATGCAGTCTCTGCAATGCTCTTCTCCCTGGGGTCCTGGTGGCCAGCGAGTGTAGATGGACCGTGCTCTCTTCTCCCTGGGGTCCTGGTGGCCGGCGAGTGTAGATGGACCGTGCTCTCTTCTCCCTGGGGTGCTGGTGGCCGGCGAGTGTAGATGGACCGTGCTCTCTTCTCCCTGGGGTGCTGGTGGCCGGCAAGTGTGGACAGGCCCCGACTTCTGCCCAGCGCCAGAGTAAGAGCAGAGGCCCCTGGCCACCTGCAGTCCGCAGCTGAGCTGCCGAGATGGAAACGCCTACCCAAGGGCTGTGTCCCACCCTTCCCGGCTGAGGGCTGGGGCCTGGGGATGCACAGGGGACTGGCCTTGGTCATGAGGCCCCACAGGGCTACCAGCCACATTTTGCACCTTACACTTACCGCGTGGAGGCCTGTGTGCTGAGAGGAGGCAGCCCGGCCCCTCCTGGACCCCACCCCTCCTGGACCCCGCCTCTCCTGGGCCCCGCCCCCTCCTGGACCCCGCCCCCTGGACTCCGCCCCTTCCTGGACCCCACCCCCTCCTGGACCCTGCCCTGGGCCCTGGCAGGGGGCAGCAGCAGCAGCGCAGACTCACCCATGAGCCCGCTGAGGAAGACGCCGTAGAGGGACAGGCCGGTGGTGGCCGCGTTCCACACGGTGCCCACGACTGCGTACAGCAGGATGGTGCCCAGGTTGCCGAAGAAGAGCCGGTTAGGCATGAAGTAGCCGGCGTCCAGCACGATGGGGGGCAGCAGGTAGAAGAAGAAGACGGTGGGCGTCAGCGTGAAGGACGCGATGTGGTCAGCTGCCCAGACGATGCCGCCCAGCACCAGGCCCAGCACGATGAGCAGGGCGCTCTCGGGAACCACACTGGTGACCTTGTGGGACAGGTGGAACCCTGCAAGGGAGGGGAGCGAGGTCAGGGCAGGCTGTGGGGGAGGGGAGGGAGGTCAGCCTGACCAGGTCCCATGGGGCTCAGAGATGCTGGCATCCAAGACCGTTCCCCACTTTTCAGGGAGCCCAAGAGGGCCGGGAGGGAGGGTGCAGGGGCAGCGTCTGGGGGCCTCCAGAATGGGGTTGGTTGGAGGAGGCTGCGGTGCTGTGGGTGGAGGCCCATGCTGGGTGGTCAGGGGTGGGCCTCTGACCTGCCGCCCTGCCCCGGCTGGCTCTGGCCCCTGGACCCCAACTCGCTCTCTGCCTTGTGCGTTGGTGACCAAGGTCTGGGCTCGCCCTGACTATCCCTGACCTGTGCAGAGCCTGCTCCTTCTAGAGGCTGGCTCTGTTTCTCACCCCTCTCCTGGGATCACAGCCCCCAGGTGGGGCCTTCTAGGAAGGGTCTTTGGGTCCCACCAATGACAGCCCGCTTCCCTCCCACGGGTGAGCTCCAGGGCAGACAGCAGGCCCTGGGGCCCCACGGAGCCAACACGTTTCACCCTGTCCCCTGGCACCACTGCCCTGCAGGACCCCAGAGTTGGAGGCTCTGGCCTGCCCTGTGGGTGGGGACACAGGCACCAGCCTATCTGGGCCACGTCTCCTGTGTTTTCATTGGACTCAGAAAGAAAAAGGTGATGAGAATTCCTGCATTTGGCCTGATTTCAAAATAGCGGGAAGGCGTGTTCTCCGGCTTAGGTGGTGTAAGAGATAATTAGCTTCTTCATTCCCTCAGCTGCTGTTTATTAATTTGAAATGCAAAGGCAAGCTGTCTCCTGAGACGGCCAAGACCCCATTTAAACACAGAGCAGCGGGAGCAGGGAGGCTCTGTCACAGACCCGAAGACCCTGTGGGCACGGCTGGAGGGTGTCGGGGGCAGTGGCCATGTCCCGCCCTTCCCGGCTTGTGGCCCTGACCAGCTCGGCCCTCCCTGCCTGTTTTCTCCCTTGTAATTATGGGGCTCTTGCAGGGACCGGGTGCTGGCTGAGGAGGGAGGTGCTGTTTTGGTTTTGCCAGATACCACGGGTGGCACGGCAAACTACAGCGGGCAGGGTCTGGAGTGAGGGAGGGCGGCTGTCCCTGGGAACACAAGAGGGCGGGTTCCTTGGAGTCCTCAGGGCCCTGCTCAGAGCTGGCCTGGGGGGGCCCATCGGCTCCCACTGTCGGCAGAGCATCTGCGGGGTTGACCCTGCAGCCATCTACAGCTCTCCATACTCTGGAAGGTGCTCCCTTGCAGCTGTGATGCAAGGGAGGAGTCCTGGGACCTCACACCTACCCCAACAGCCCATCCTCAGCAGCGCCTTCCCCAGACCTGGGCTCACAGAGCCACAGCCCAGCAGGAAAACAGGCCCCTCTCTTCCTCTGGGCTCCATGGCCTGTTCCCTGTGGTGGCTGGGGACGGACCCAGCCTCGCAGAGCTTTGGGAAGCCGTGGGTGGCCTCTTCTGGCCCTGCAAGGGGAGGGCTGTGGCCTCTGCTCAGGGCGGCCTGGGGCCCCCTCCAGACCCGGCTCAACAGGCCCTAGGCTGGCCCAGGAATCTGCATGCTAGGGTAGGGGTTCTGAGGCCCTTGGGAGTCCTGCTGGGGGTCCCCGTGGGGAAAGAAGGTCTGGAGCCGGTGCTCCCGCATCTGTGGACTCCTGATTTCTTTCTCAATGTCCAGAGAGACGTGGAGTGCACCACCTTCTGCTCCTTCCTGAGGCTGTAAATCCTGGCCATGGCGTCCCTAGCTGTGTTCAGAAGACCCGGGTGGTCCGTGCCCGGTGCCAGCGCTTGCTCACCTGCAGGCTCGACCCGCGCCTCCCACATCCGTCCTTGGTGGCGCTGCCACCTCCGCTGCTGCCCCACGAGTGCCCAGCAAGGCCCGGCACAGCCATGGTCATGGTGACCCCTGGAGGCTGTCCAGCCCCTGGCGAGACCCACCCAGGCCACTGTTTTCTACACAATGCATTTTCTGCCTCTGCCCACGTCCCAGGCTGGCCCCTGTAGGGGATCAGCTCACCTGTCCTCTCCTTCCAGGGGAAGGACCTGGGAGATGGTGCTTGCCCAATAGCGCTTGTGGGGCAGCCAGAGGGGCACTTGTGGCCCTTCAGTGCCTGCCAGCGTGTGGACCGCTCTGAGGATAAAATCCTGTGACCACAGAGACCACGCATTACCAGGCAGGGGGCAGCGTGGCCGAAGGTGAGACCTGGGACGAGGCGGGAGCCTGGGAGCTCCAGAACGCCATCGCCTGAAGTGGCTGCAAACACGTGGCCTCGGGTCCTCTCGTTCAGGGCTTGGGTCTTTTAGCCACAATCTTCCAAAATTAGATTTACAGCAATCACCACCACCATTGTGAAGCCACCAGACAGCTGCGGGGCCAGGAGGTCAGGGATGCACGGGGCCAGCTTTGTCTTTAAAAACAACTACACAGCTCCACACACCGGTGCCTCTGTGCTCCCCACACAGCTGGCCCTCCGCCACACTCCAACATGGCCTCTGTGCTCCCCACGCCGTCGCTGGCCCTCCGCCACACTCCAACATGGCCTCTGTGCTCCCCACACGGCTGGCCCTCCGCCACACTCCAACATGGCCTCTGTGCTCCCCAC